AGCAGGGGAGGGTCAGAGAGAGAGGGAGACACAGAATCTGAAACAGGCTCCAGGCCTGAGCTGTCAGCACAGAGCCCGACGCGGGGCTCGAACCCACGAACCGTGAGATCATGACCTGAGCCAAAGTCGGACGCTTAACTGACTGAGCCACCCAGGCGCCCCTTTTCTTTTTTTTTAAACTTGAAGATCACTATGGTTGTAGAGTTGAGCAGTGCTGGGGTCTGCCCCAGCAGAAGCCCTCCTCCATGCCATCTTTGATGGTACCATCTTATGGTGATGGTCAGAGCGCCCTGTGCCTGCCTGCCTTCAGGGCCTTGTAGCCAGAGGTCTGGGGGACTGAAGCAGGTGGCGAGGCAATAATTATAGTAACCACTTACTGAGCATCTACTACATGACAGGCCTGTGTTTTATTTACAGTAAGCTTGGTGCATAAGAGTGTGGCGCCAGAGTCCAGAAACGCTGGTTTTGACTCTCATCTCCATTTCACTTGCTTTGAGGTTTCGATCAAGTTCATCTCATTATGTCTCAAATTTCCCATCTGTAAAAATTTTTAAAAACTTTTCTTTCTTTTAATTTTTATTTATTGAAAAACATTTTTATAGTTCATTTATTTTTGAGACAGAGAGAGACAGAGCACGAGCGGGGGAAGGGCAGAGAGAGAAGGAGACACAGAATCTGAAGCCGGCTCCAGGCTCTGAGCTGTCAGCACAGAACCCAACGTGGGGCTCGAACCCACCAACTGCGAGATCATGACCTGGGCTGAAGTCGGACGCTTAACTGACTAAGCCACCCAGTCACCCCAATGTTTATTTATTTTTGAGAGAGAACGTGAGAGAGAGACAGAGCATGAGCAGGGGAGGAACAGAGAGAGAGAGGGAGACAGAAAATCTGAATCAGGCTCCGTGCCGACAGCAGAGAGCCTGAGATGGGGCTTGAACCCACGAACCATGAGATCACAACCTGAGCTGAGATTGGATGCTCAACAGACTGAGCCACCCAGGCGCCCCTCTTATCTGTAAAATTTTAATAATAAGTATATAATAGCATTAATAGATATTACATATTTAATACTTAGATAAAAATACATGATAATATTTACCACACAGGGTTGTGAGTGGTTATAAGAGGTGCTGTGCACAACGCAGTTTGCAGTATCTGGTGGATATTACGTGCTGTGTAATTGTGAAGGTCATTATATATACTCATAATTTCTAACCCTACCCCAATCCTGCAGTGTAATGCATTGGCTAGAAAGAGGCTTGGTTGCTGTAGCCTTTGATATGTCAGTGGTTTAAGCAAGACAGAAATTAATTTCTCTTTATAACACAACAGTCCAGAGGAAGGTAGCACGGGGGTGAGAGAGGTTCTATCATTTCCAACCTGCATCTTCCACCACCAGGTTCAAATGTTTGCTCCAGCTCTGACCATCTTATCAGAATTCCAGTCAATAGGAAGGAGAAAATCTGTGCCTTCCTTCTAAGGTCATTCTGAAAACTTGCAGATAACGTTGATGCTCAGATCTCAGCCAAGCAGAGTAACCTGGCCGTCCTATCTGCAAAGGACGCTGGGAAATATAATCTTGCACTTAGCTAACGTTGTGGGGATTACTCGTACAGGACAAAGGAGAGAGTAGATACTGCTCTGCCACAGCCCACCTTCTGGCCAACCTAAGCAAAGAACACATTCAGCAGCCTTCAAAGGGAGGCATCCAGGCACTGCATGGGCTCTGAAAAATGTTTGGACAGGATCCTATGGTCTAGTGACTTGTAAACTGAAAGGCAAGTAATCTGCCCCTCCCACTCCCCATAGGCAACAGTGGAGGAGGAACAGGATAAACTCAATTAAACCATCGACTCAGAACAGGAAAGAAAAGCAAACATCCAGCAGAGTCACTGGATCTCATCAATTACCAAATCTAGTTGGGCAGGAATTGCAAAGCGGCTTCCCCACAGAGGAGGAAGTTCTCGGGCAATGCGCCACCCTGCAAACCCTTACAGTTTCTACAGACTTCTTCCTGCTGGCTCAGGTCTGGGGGTACTGAGGGTCACTGGAGGGGGGGTCAAATCAGCTTTTGGTGATGAGGTTTATAGTTTCCTGGCCAGTGTAACACCCTAGAAATCTTAAAGGCTTCTGACTGGCTCCATATTTGAGTAGCCACAGCCAACGGTCTCAGAGACATAAGTTCTGTGCTTGATACTCCGGGTATGGTGTACTTTCTATTCTCTCTCAAACTACCGGTGGCTCTTATGAGGCCATCTGAAGAAAGGTGCCTGCCTGTAAAGAGAGCCTTGTTCTGCCCACGGGGCCAACTCCCACTGTTGGCGAACAGAGTGCTTGAGAAAGGTTTGAAATTACCGTCACAACCTTTGCTAAGTCCGCCTTCCGAACCACCTCTTACAACTCATCTCTCTTGCAGGCCTTTGCTAGCGACAGCCGGCAACCGCCAACACTCACCGAAAGTCTGTTTCCATCCAGGCTCTGTGACTTTTAGGCTCTGTTAGCATGTGATTTACCTCTCAAAGCATTATAGATGATGGCCACACCACAGGTTTTGCTGTCACATAACAATGGCCATCACCTTACCAGCGGACAATACTATCTGCTGCTCAATCTTTAAACCAACTGTCACTTGTTTCAGACTTTTAGAACAGTGCCACTTACAGATACCAAATTCCACATTCCTTAGGATGTATGTTTGGTTGCTGTACCAAAGATGCAATTTAAGAATGACTTACATAGGAAAATGCATTTCTCTCTCCTATAATAGTCTGTAGACCGTTTAAAGCTGGTAGAGTGACTTTGAAACCCTTAACAAGCGTCTTCATTTTGGGTACAAGATAGTTGCTCTAGTTCCTGCCATCACATCAGCATTCCAGCTAGCAGAAAGGGAAAAGGAAGAGGAGAACCATGCCTCTTTTGTTTAAAGCCTGACCTGGAAGTTGCCCACATCCCTTCCACTCACATCCCTTTCATCAAATTTAGTCACAAGGCCTTATTTGGCTTTGAGGAAGACTGGGAATCTGAGTATTTATTATAGGCAGCTACTCCAACTGAAATTCAAGTGATTTTACTACTAATATAAGAAGAGAAAAACAGATATTGGGAGGTGACTGGCAGTTTGCCACAGAATGCTTTCACCTTCATTTTACACCGGTAGAATCAGGCTCAGAGAAAACAGCGGTGCTTTTGAAGGTCATGGACCAAACTAACAGCAGAGCGTGAATTTTAATCAGGTCCATCTGACCATACAACTCGCTTTCCATTACATCCAGCTAATGTGTTTTGGTCATCAAAGTGCCCACTGTTTACTTGCAGATAAAGGATATTCACACGTGGATAGTTATGTAAATGTCTGCTCTGTGTATACTGAGGTATGTACACAGATCCTGAGCTGTAAGGATCCCAGTGCAGGGACAGTGATGCCATTAGGGAAGACTTTTCTTTTTTTAACCATTTTTAAGCTTTTTATTTATTTTGAGGTAGGGGCAGAGAGGAGGAGGGGAGAGGGAGAATCCCAAACAGGCTCCTCATTGTCAGTGGGGAGCCCAATGCAGGGCTTGAACTCATGAACCATGAGATGGTGACCTGAGTGGAAATCCAGAGTCAGGTGCCCCAGGGGAGACTTTCCCCTGGACCCTCCTACTGGCCTTGTAGGTGGAACAGGCCTGATAGAGGGGAGAATGGAGTGTGGCAGGAGAAGGCAATGGTGTGCTCTGCACCTGTGTGTATCTGGCCTGGTTGTGAAGGTGGCCCAGAGCTTAAGGGTCAGGGAGGTAGATGCATCACGTATCTCCAAAGATGGCCCACCTGATCTTTCTACCAGCTGAAGTGTCCCGTTAGCTGTACCTGAGATATCAGCTGGGACAAGGCAAGAACAGGCCCCAGGGATCCCGCAGACGGAGAGCTGCACTCACCCCCGTTTCTAACCAAGACACGGAAAGGCAGAGTCCCTTCCATGATCTGTTCTCCTCCACCCCCCTGTAGGCAGTACAGGGGCTTTGAGGGCTGATGAGAAATGTGTTCAGTACATTCAGCAAAAAATCCAGTAACCCATTATTGAGTGTCCACTCCAGGGCCAGAGACTGGGATGGAAGAGGCTGGAAGGAGGAGGCCGGGGGAGGAGTGTGGAGGGGCAGAGGGGAGCTAGAACAGCTGGGTCAGCATTCCCGATTTGGACACTGACTCAGGCCCCAGGAATGCTGAGGAAGGGGGGTGGGCAGCCACCACCAGAGCCCAGCAGGGATCCGGTTGGCACCAGGGGATGTAGGGACAGCATGCACAGAGGGATGTTGGGACTGGGGCTCCCACACACTGGGACCCACCTCCAAACCACCGGTAGAAACAGCTGTCTCTCTCTCACTCTGGGCCCCCCAGCCCACCGCACACCTTCACGGGGATTCTCTCGAATCTAGCTCCCCACCTGCCCAGTCCATCCCACTCCAACTCCCCCAGCAGAGAGAGGGACAGGCTGCTGGGGCTCTAAGAGGACATCTGGACATACAATGCCCTCTCTCCCGCGACCGCCCACAAACCCCTTGTCCCCAGCCTCCCAGCTGGCTCCAACTTGCCCTTTCTAACTCCAGCACCTCCCACGACTGAAGTTTGTGCAAGGAAGATAGTGAAGCGCAACCGGCCTCCATTTCCCCTCCTTTGGCGCCTGACAAAGATGAGAAGGACCCCAGGACGCTGAGAGCCCGCCTCCTCCACCTGGCGCCCCAGCAATGCTCCAACCCAGCCCCCTACATAGCAAAGTCCTTCAATCTTGTCCTTGGAGATCCAGGAGGGAGCCCAGGACCTAGCCTCCAGATTCCACGTGCGCCCCTTCCCTCCCCACCCTGCGCCAGGAGGCTGGGCGGGAGCAGCTGAGACCTACGAGCCCTCCCTCCCGCTGCTGACACCCAATCAGAGAGAAACCGATCCGGGGAGGGCAAGGCGCCAGGGGCCGGGCCCAGAATAGTGTTGCCCAGCCTGTGTTGCGCACTTGCTCTTCGTGGGTCCGGGGTTGGCCGCATGGAGCACGCACTGCGCCGGGTACAGGGGTCCCGGGGGACGGGAGCTGGGGCAGCCGAGGCCAAGGGATGGCGAGCACACCACACCGTGTGACTGTGTGTGAATGAGTGTGCGCGCGCGGGTGTGTATTCTTTGTGTAAGTGACTTAGGTGGATCTATGCACAGCTGGGAATGGCTGGCTATGTTTTTCTGAGTGTGCATAAGTGTGTATGGGTGTGTTTGCGGGGGTGCGTGTGTGCAGGCAGGCTTGTGCCTGCGTGTATAGTCACACGTGATGGGAAAGGAAGCTACCTGTGGTTCGGGGATGTAGGACACCCTCCCACCCCTTCAGACATTCTTCTCCTCACAGAATCCATCTTGGAGCAGCCTTGGGGGACCTGAGCATCAAGGTAGGTGGGGCTGCCTTCTCAGGGGCTAGCCTCTCCTCCGACTTCCTTTGCCTCCCACCTCTCTGGGCCTCCACTCTGCTAGCCTAGCTTTTGTCTCTCTCTCTCCTTTTCCTTCTTTGTTCCTCTGTTTCTTCTCTTTTTCCCTCATCTCCTCTTTCCTCTTTCAGAGGAAGTGAGGAGAATCTAGAGTTTGAAGACTCCCACCCTAGTTCTGACTTGAGCATTTCATAGCTGTGTGAATTGTGGCGAATTGCCTCACTTCTCTGATCTCAGGTCCAACTTTAGTAAAATAAAGATGATAATAATCTCCCCCCCCCCATAAGATTGCTATGAAATTTGAGTGAGAAATATATTGGAGGAGAGCCCGTGGGAAGCTTGCTAATGTGAGATATTATTATTAATAACATTTTAATTGATTTTGTTGTGTTACTCCCTATTAACCAAACAGGCCCCATTCCCCCTTCCAGAGATGAGCTTTCTAGAACAAGGAGAGAGCACTTCATGGCCATCGCCGGCCATGACCACTGGCTCAGAAAGAAGCCAGGAGAAAGAGGGGGCCAAGGCCTCAGGATGGACAAGGCAGGAGGCTGTGAAGGAAGGGGAGCTGCCAGGTGTGGGGGAAGGTGAGGCCAAGGCCGGTTCTGGGGACATGGGGGAGTGTGGGCCGTGGGGCATCCCAGAGCCTGGGGCTGGGGCTCTGTTCCGGATCCCTCCAGAGCGCAGAGGTGGCCTCAACCCTCACCTTGTAGTCTTGGTCACCTGGGAAAGGTCACCTATACAGCAGAGCCCGGGGCCGGGCGCGGCCAACCCAGGACAGAGCCACCGTCTTGGGTGACTCTGAGACTCAGCTCTCTTACCTGCAAAATGGGGCCACAGCATTCAGGCTTCCCAAGGCTGCTGTGAGGATGAATGGAGCCAGCAGATGAGAGAATGCTCTAGAAGATGGACTTACTGTCCTCTCCCCACCGACAGATCCCCAGGCCAAGCCACCTGCTGAGCACACCGGGCTGGAGGCCACATTCCCCAAGGCCACACACTTGTCCCAAGCTGCTCCCTTGACCAAAGTGGGCACTCCGCCAACAGAGTGGGAGATCTTCCCCCCTAACTATGCAGCCTCAGCTGCTGGCTCGAACACCGACGACCTGGAGCTGGACATGGAGTTCCCAGTCACAGCATCCTGGGGGTATGAGCTGGGCCTGGTGGAGGAGAGGCCTGCCCTGTGCCCGTCTCCACGGGCCCTCCTACCCAGGCTGGGCTGGGATGATGAACTGCAGAAACCCGGGGCGCAGGTCTACATGCACTTCATGCAGGAGCACACCTGCTACGATGCCATGGCAACAAGTTCCAAGCTGGTCATCTTTGATACCACGCTGGAGGTGAGGCCGGGCTCCGCCCCACCTCCATTCTCACAGGGCTGCAGCCACCACTCTCCTCCCTCCAGGACCTCCTGCAAGCCCTCTTCCAGAACTACTCCTTAGCACCACAGAGACCCATGCGGGGGAGCTCCTGCTCCTTAATTGTCATCCCAGCTCTGCCATTTAGTATGGGTAGGATTTGGGGTCGGTCACTTTACTTCTTTCATCTCTAAAATGGGAATGGGAGTACCTGGCTGGTTCAGTCAGAAGAGCATACAACTCTTAATCTTGGGGTCAGGGGTTTGAGCCCCGTGTTGGGTGTAGAGATTACTAAAAAATAAAATAAAAATGAAATAAAATGGGGACAGGAATGCCTGCTTTGCCCTCCCAGGGTCGGAGGACTCCTGGAAAAACCCGGATTAAGTGGGAGCACTTTGTGAACCCCTAACTATATGGAAGACCTTGCGGGCTGGCTTAGAACAAACAGCAGGGAACTCTCAGTAAGAGAAAAATAGGGCGAATCCTCGCCCCTGCTCTTCCCTTAAGCTCCGCTATGGGACGCCTGATTCCATTTTTACCATCACATAGAGCGGAGCAGTGTTTCCCGAAGCACAGTGTATGAACCACCCACAGTACACTATTGGATTCCAGCGGTGTATGATCAATTATATTTGTTGCAGTAGCTTTGCATTTATTTTAATATGCGTTAGAAAAATACGACTAGAACAGATACAGCCCGTATCGATACTATTACTTAGGATGAAGCCAAATGGGACAACGTCAAACTTATTTAGAGAAATATATTTCGTAAATGTTATGTAAACAAGTGTACCTCTAGCACTTAGATCAGCAAAGGCTATACTGTGTGTGACTGTACACGTATAACTTCCGAGTAGAAACCCCAAGTGAGTGTCTCACACTCTGATGTGCCAGGTGAAGGGGTCACCACAGTGGCTCTGGCCACCAGCAGCCTTATCTCTATAGCAAGTGTGTCTGACAAAGGTCGTGCTAGCGTTGTGCCGTGGCATAGGACAGGAGGTCAAGCTGATGTAGAGGAAATCCGGGGAAAAGGCCCCATGGAAGGACCCTGGCTGGGACAGGGTAGCCCTGGGGGGCCAGTGAGAGACCCCCCCCCTCAATGTTCTCTCTGGCCCTCAGATCAAGAAGGCCTTCTTTGCCTTAGTGGCCAATGGCATCCGGGCGGCACCGCTGTGGGACAGCAGGAAGCAGAGCTTCGTGGGTGAGGAAGGGCTGGGAGGCAGAGGGAATAGAGAGCTCTTCTGAGGGAGCCCTGGGGCTGAGCTCTGACACACCACGGGTTTGGGCAGACCCTTGGTGTGAGCCACGCTGGGGGCTGGCGCGGGGGGAACATCTGATCCCGGCCTCATGGCCGCTGGCTGGGGGACCCCATGAGCAGAGTAGGTGTGATCAGCTGACCACTCCAGCTCTACTCTCCCCCGGTCCCATGTCGTAGGTGCTAGATAAGAAAAGAGGAAAGGGAGAGGAAGGAATTGGGAGAATAGAAAAGGGTGGGCGAGGAGAGAAATTACAGGGGAAGCATAAAAGGTGGGGGAGGGGCTGCCCTGTTCCCCTCTGTCCACAGTTCCCACAGCTGTCTCAGAGCCAAGAGTCTGGCAGGGCGGGGCAGGGGGTCTGACCCCTCAAACTGCCTCCCACCACGGCCCCCCAACCCCCGGTTGACCCACTGTCTTTCCCTCCTAACCCCACAGGGATGCTGACTATCACAGACTTCATCTTGGTGCTACATCGCTATTATAGGTCCCCGCTGGTGAGAACAGGCTGGGGTGGAGGGTTGCTTGGGGAGCCTGGTGTCTGAGGGGCCTGTGTCCAACTTCTGGGGTCTCTAGGTCCAGATCTATGAGATTGAAGAACATAAGATTGAGACCTGGCGAGGTGAGTTGGCAGAGGGGACCTGGATGGGGCTGAGGGTGTGTGGGTGAGCCTGGGGCCAAGGACCCGAGATTGGGCAGTGGGGATTTCCTGGAGGGAGCAGGGGAAGGGTGAGAGGGAGCCCAGAGGGCCTGCGGGAGGAAGACCGTGGGGCTGCCAGGCGAGGTGGGGTGGCCAGCTCCCCAGGCCTGACTCTGCCCTTCCTGCAGAGATCTACCTTCAAGGCTGCTTCAAGCCTCTGGTCTCCATTTCTCCCAACAGCAGGTAAATGTCCCCAGCCACCCACCTGAGCCTCCTTGCCCCGAACACCCCCCTTCTGGGTCAGTCCCTCAGTTCTGAACTCAGGGGCTCATCCAGTGGCAGACAAGGCACCCTGGACACCCTGTCTTCCTTTTGCAGGGGCTGGGGTGGAGGGTGTCTCTCCCCCCAGACCCACTGTTCCCACCTCTGCAGCCTGTTTGAAGCTGTCTACGCCCTCATCAAGAACCGGATCCACCGTCTGCCGGTCCTGGACCCGGTCTCCGGCGCTGTGCTCCACATCCTCACGCACAAGCGGCTGCTCAAGTTCCTGCACATCTTTGTGAGCCTGGGCACAGCCTCAGGGTGCCCTGAGGGGCTGAGAAGTCATTGGCCCAACAGACCGGGGAGGGAGTGCTGGGAGTGCTCTGGGGGCTGCCGCAGCCTGACTCCCACCTGTCCCCAACCCGCCCAGGGCTCCCTGCTGCCCCAGCCCTCCTTCCTCTCCCGCACCATCCAAGATCTGGGCATCGGCACATTCCGGGACTTGGCCGTGGTGCTGGACACAGCGCCCATCCTGACGGCACTGGACATCTTTGTGGACCGGCGCGTGTCTGCACTGCCTGTGGTCAATGAAGCTGGTACCTGGACGCAGAAGTGGGGCTGGCAGGGGTGGGGCTGTGGCAGGCAGGGCATCAGCTCAGGATCCAGGGTGGAGTTAGAGGTCTGCCTGCTTTGGGTCTTGGACCTGTTACTTAGCCTCTCTGTGCCTCAGTCTCCTCATTTGTGAAATGGGAAATCTTAATAACACCCATCCTCTGACTTCACGGGATGATTTGAAAGGATTATGTGCAATAAGAAGCATGGTAAGAGGAAACGGAGGTTAAGATTTTTAATGTTAATTCATCCTAAAATGGGCCATTGGATCCAGCCAGACCTCTCCTTCTTGCCCTGAAGAGATTAGAGGGACTACATGATCATTTCTTTGGTTGACCATGGCTGTAAACCATTTCAATGTCAAAATTGCTGTACTGAAGCTAGATATCAAAAAATGTTTTTTCTTTGTTTTGTTTTTGTTTTTTGAATGTTTATTCATTTTTTGAGAGACAGATACAGAGCACAAGTGGGAGAGGGGCAGAGAGAGAGAGGGAGACACAGAATCTGAAGCAGGCCTCAGGCTCTGAGCTGTCAGCACAGAACCCAATGCGGGGCTTCAACCCACAAATGGCGAGATCATGACCTAAGCCGAAGTTGGACACTTAACTGACTGAGCCACCCAGGCGCCCCAAGAAATGTTTTGATTTATTTCTGATTATGAAAAATTGGAAATGTATGAAAATGGTAGAACTAACTGCATTATGAAAGTCACTTATCCATTACCTGGATTAACTACTGTTAACACATTGCCATAACCAGGTTTTTTCCCCCATAGTTTTTGCTAAAGTAATTTAAATTACAGAGATCATGTTATTTTATCCCTAACCCTTCAGTCTGCATCTCTTAAAAATCAGTATATTTCCTCTTTCACCTAACAAAACTAGAATAACTTATTCATATCATCTAATATCTGAGCTTAATTCTCATTTTCTCACCTTCCCTGAGGGTATCTTTTTTACAGTTGATTTGTACAAACCAGGATCCAGTTAAGGTCCCTGCTTTGCATTGCTTCTTTTCTCTTTAGTCTGTTTTAATCTAGAACGGTTCCTTCCTCACTTAATTTTTGTGGCACTATAATGACAAGCCTGGGTCAGTTGTCCTATAGAATGTCCCCCTTCCAGATCTATCTCTTTGCTTTCTACAGATGGCCTCAGTGTTCCTCTATTCCTGGGTTTCCTGTAAACCCTGGAAATTAGATCTAAAGGCTTGATCAGATTCAGGCTATCCATTTGAGCCTAGGGTAGTTGTGGTGACACCATGTACTCGAATTGTGTCTTGTCTGGAGGCATCATTTCAGGCCGTCTCCTCTCTGGCTGTGATGCTGTGTGATCTGTGGGTCCAGGTAGTGACAGCCTGATGCCTCATTTTATTTTTAACGATTTTTATCTATCTATCTATCTATCTATCTATCTATCTATCTATCTATCTATCGAGAAAGCAGGGGAGGGGCAGAGAGGGAGACACACAGAATCCGAAGCAGGCTCCAGGCTTTGTGCTGACACGGGGCTCGAACCCACGAACTGTGAGACTGTGACCTGACCCGAAGTTGGATGCTTGACTGACTGAGCCCCCCAGACACCCCTAATGCCTCATTTTAAAGCCAGTAGCCTGGGGGGCTCAGTTGGTTAAGCTTCTGACCTCGGCTCAGGTCATGATCTCGCGGTTCATGAGTTTGAGCTCTGCAGCAGGCTCTCTGCTGTCAGTGCAGAGCTCACTTCAGATTCTCTTTCCTCCTCTCTCTGCCCCTCCCCTGCTTGCACTCTCTCTGTCTCTCTGGAAAGAAATAAACAAAACAAAAAAAAGCCACTGGCCTGGGGAGGGGTGGGAGATGTCCAGTAATTCACTGTGAAAGCCTGCCTCCGGCCCTTGCACAGCATGCTGGTTCTGACGTGAACCTCTTCCTTTTCTCTCCCCACCTGGCCCCCCCCCACCCCTGCAGGACAAGTCGTGGGCCTCTACTCCCGCTTTGATGTGATTGTAAGTGTCTGCGGGAATAGGGACCTCGGGGTGCCACAGGGATGCTGTAGGTGTGAGAATCGATTGGGGGGGGGGGTATCTGTAGACCGGAAGGACCTTTACAGGCATATAGGGGGCAGGTGGATAGGTCTGGGGCCTGGCTAAGGGGATGACTGACATGGCCCTTGCCTTCCCTGCCCCAGCACCTGGCTGCCCAGAAAACCTACAACCACCTAGACATAAGTGTGGGCGAAGCCCTGAAGCAGAGGACAGTGTGCCTGGAAGGAGTCCTTTCCTGCCAGCCCCATGAAAGCTTGGGGGAAGTCATCGACCGGATTGCCCGGGAGCAGGTACCGCAAGCCCCTTCATACATGCCCCCAGCACGTATGGCCCAGTCCTCACGAGCAGCTCCAGCTGTCCCTAGATACGGCACACCTGCCCTTGTCCTCCCGTTTTATGGCCATTTCAAGCTCTTGGCGTCCACACTGGTCTGCAACTGGTCCTTTGGGGCCCTCGTGCGAAGGGCCACAGACAGCTGATCACCCCAGTGTGGGCAGAGCTACCCCTAACTGGTTTCTAGGAGATACTTTCTTGCTCCCCGTTATGTTAACTCGTTGCCCCCGATTCTCCGTGGCAACCTGGTTGGTTATCATCGCCGCACGGCTCCAACACCCCGCTGACCCTCCGTGGGCCCACAGGTACACCGGCTGGTGCTACTGGACGAGACCCAGCATCTCCTGGGCGTGGTGTCGCTCTCCGACATCCTTCAGGCACTGGTGCTCAGCCCTGCTGGCATCGACGCCCTCGGTGCCTGAGAATATCTGGGTCCTCACTCCCAGGCCATCTTCCACACGCAGAAGCCCATGAAGGGAGCCAGGGAATGTGGCCTTCATCTTTCCCCACCCCCACTTGCTGGTTTGGCTCTGGTTCAGGTAGGCTCTGCCTTGGGCCATTGGCCTCAGTACCAGCCCATCGGTCTTCCTAGGCTCTCAGATCTCAGCCTGAGGCCCCCTGAGGATGGGGGTGCCCAGCTCATTGCTGAGCAGCCCCGCGAGAACTACAAGTATCAGGACTCACCGTGGGGCCCCCACTTTGCCCCATTCTCCATTGAGGATGGATCATGGAGGTCGTCACAAGAGGGATGGGCAGGGGATGGGGTAAAGGCAAGGGCAGTGATGTGATTTCAGATGCTCTGGGGAGATTGGCCTGCCTTCTTGCCACTCAGTTCCCACCTGCTTGGAATTCCACTGGAAGGAAGCAGGTTAATAAACCTTTGTTGAATGGAACTTCCATGCGCAGTAAGAACTACGGCTGCAAGGAGGGAGTTTCTATCTAAGTAGTCCTCTCAGTAAATCTGACATGATCTCAGACTCCTTCCTGGTAGCGCGTTTGTTGGGAACTTGCTGACATTCCACCTGCTTGCCAGTGGATGGGAAGACGAGGTTCCCCTACTGGAAAGGCAACCTCTCCTGCCCCCGTAGTCACTGCCTTGTCTTCTCTTTTCCTCACAGGCTTCTCCAGCCCTCTCTAACTGCCCTTGCCCTGCCTGTGCTCCCAGAAGCCCTCGGGAATGCCCTGTCCTCCAGGGGATGATGAAATTAAGGAGAACAGCTGAGTCGAGCCTGGAGATTTATGAACCAGAGGCACTGGGATTACCCCAGGCCACCTGCTCCATGCCCACCCGCATCAACCCCCCCCCCCCCACCCCCAGTGGCCCCAGTGGAGCAGCGAGCCCTCAGCCGGCTGGGTTTAGTCAGGGGCTCTGGATTCCTCAGCCTCTGGACTACCCAGGAGGCCCTGCTGCTCTTCCACACTACTAAGGGTGGTTCGCCACAACCTGGCCACTGCCCCCCTTCCCTCCCAGCATTGAAACGGCAGCCATGTGGTGAGCCTGTTGAGTGGGGTCCTTGCACCATTCTCGTCCTGAGCACCAGCAAACAGTGCTCAGTCCCCAGTGATGGCCTGTGTTTGGACCACTGAGGATGCACCGTTGAGGAAACAAAAAGAAAAAGAACAATTGACCTGTGAACTTAAATCATATATGTTTCACTCTGAAAATGCTAGTCATTTGACCTGCACTCGTGGCAAGACCCCTGTGCTTTCTGAATTCAGAGACGCGAGGGAGAAGCTGTAACGGACAAACACTACCACTGGCATTGCTTTCGTGCGTAGGGCATGAGTTGACGGACGATTCTTTGTTCATTTTTTATTTATAACAAACCATAAAGAAGATATTCATTAGTTGATGACATAGTAAGTACAACTCAGTCCACAAACTCTAATGTGCAAGAAACATAACTTTCTTTTTAACACTGACTGTAATGCCTATTATGAACACCATTTCACCAGGTGGTAGAAATTAATCTCCATGTGGGATTCACCCGCCGCCTTTTCCTGGGGTTAAATTCGGTGAGAAGGGGAGGCTTTGAGTGGTGGGAGACTTTGGTCATCGCCCATCATCATCCACACTTGCCAGCACTTGCTAAAATATTCCTGTTGGTGGGCATGGCCCCTGCCACGTGCTCCCTCAGTCACTGCTGCAAAGCCTCCTTGGGCTTGCCTTCTCTTGGGGCAGGAGACATTCTAGCTCCTGGACCTGCACCCCTCTGGGCTTCAGGACGCCGTATAGAGCAGTCCCAAGCTCATCTGCTCAGATGGACAGCAAGTGATCTGTTCTACTCTGCATTTTGCTGTTGTTGTTTTTTTCCCAGCCTCTGCCCTGGAAACATAGGGCACAAGGCTCTTCTTACCCTCTCCTTGTCATTTCCAAACCTCTCCGGGGTATTGATCATATTCCCCTCCTCCCTTCGGACACAGCTCCCTTCCCGGGGATTCCAGAAATGTCTACCATCTCTTTGCCTCCCCAACCCCCACCAACCTATGGAATCTTTACCAGTGGGGCCTTTCTCTCGAACTCATCATACATTCTTCCAAGTCCGCGGTATGTGTCTTGAGCTCTTGCCACCTACTCTGAGGCCAGGCTTCTGCTATGTCATCCCTCCCCTGTGGCAATGGACACTGCGGGTTTGCTGGCCAGTGGGAAGAGGATAGGTTAGTATTTCTAAAATAGGATCCCACCACAGTTACCTCACAGGGAAACGGAGTGGTGACGTTTGTGCTTGATGAGTCAGGCAGTAAATGAAGGCATTTTCTCATAGACACTCAGCTTCTGTTACCAACTTTGCCACAACCCATGGGTCAGTGTTGGTTGTGCTCTGGGCCTGCCTGGGAAGGTCCCAGCCTTGGGCTCCAGTGGGACGATGAGATGGGGGTGCTTCTCTGGGCCTGTCTCAAGTGACCGTGTCCTTGAGGACCCTGGGGCAGGCTGCCTCCTGCTGCAGTTGACTGTCAGGAATGTGTAACAGGGTCAGTCTTTTGAGGTGGTGCCCCAGGTTGCTCTGTGTAAACAGACCTTCAGAAGTCAGCACAGGCGTTAGGTAGAAAGGGCAGCCTGAGGAAATGACTCTTTCCCCCTTCTGTTCCACAACACCCCCCCCCGCACCCCCCAGGAGTAGGTAGATCTCCAACCTCCTAGACCCACCATCCTGAGGACCCAGCAGTTCTCCCTTGGGGCCGTCTCTGGGGGACCCATCTCAGTCCCGCTGCTTCAGCCCCCTGCTCTGATCACAGCCCAGCCCTCAGTTCCTGACAGCCCTCCAGCATCATGGCTTCTAGAAAAGAAGCAAAGGGTTGCCATGAGAACTACTCCCATCCTAACTTTGAATAAAAGTATGAAGGCCAGCCATTCTGCTGGCCCCTCTGTTCATACCCATGAACCTGGGGCTGGCCAAGGTTTCCAGGCATCATTGCCTCCGTGCCCCCGACTCCTGCCCTGACCTCCGAGGCGCCTCCGGTGTTCTGTGACCTCCAGGCTGGGCTCTCATCCCCTCCTCACATCAGCTCACATCACATCTCTCACATCATCTCTGCAGTTATCATCCCTGGCTGTGCATCAGGATCCCCAGGGGAACTTTATAAGATGGAAATTCTGGAGCCCCATTCCTAGATAGATTCTAATTTCCTGACTTGGGGGTGGGACCTGGCCAACTGTATTTATTTTCTGTAGAAACTAGAGACTTGTGTTCATCATACGTGATGAGCACGGTGGCTTGCTGAGATAAAAGGGTGCCTCATTTCCATAATTAGGAAAATCATTTGTCACATTATTGCATCTATATTATTCGTTATGACCAAGATCTACAAACAGAGCTGGCTAAGAATGGGGGCACAAGGTAGAAGCTACGATTTGCTGGCATTCTCAATAGCCTTTCAAACATGTGCAAATACAGAAGAATTCAGCACAAGGTCACTTATGTCCACCCCCTGATGACAACTGTCGGAATTTTTAGTGGCCGTTCATCTTAATACTGGAATCATAAATAATGAGCTAGAAGTGAACTAATATTAATGAGCCAAAATACCCTCAGAGTTAAAACACCTGTAGAACATGAGCATGTACACAGCCAGAAAATATTGGCTACTCGATCTATTTTTACTCCTGGGAGTGCTGCGTAAGTGTTGTTTAAGAAGACACGCTGATTTTAGGGGGCACCCACGTAGCTCAGCCAGTTTAACATCTGACTCTTTGATTTCAGCTCAGTTACCATCTCATGGTTCATTAGTTCTGTGCTGACAGCATGGAGCCTGCTTGGGTTTCTCTCTCCCTCTCTCTCTCTTTCTCTCTCCTTCCCTCCCTCTCAAAAATAAATAAATAAACATTTAAAAAAAAAAAAACAAGACAAGCTGATTTCTTAAAATCTTACCCCAAAATATGGATCCTAATTTGGCCAACAAGTTCAAATTAGCTGGAAAGGGAGTAATGAGACATGCACATTCTTTTCAGTCAAAAGTGTATGTCGGTGCTGAATTAACGTCCACTCATCTGCAATTGTCCTAAATCCTATTGTTCTTTCCTTACAGAGTCAGGTCAGGGTGGATAATCAGGGAGCCTCGCTGTGACATCGCTCCCCTGTGACTTATGTGGGCTGCCCAGCGTCTTTGAGACCCCAGGCCCCCGGTGGTCTGAAGGAGCAGACACTGGAAAAGGCAGAAGTCGCTCTGGGTGACTTGGTGACAGAAATCCTGGCCCCCCTCTGAGCCCGGCCCCCACTCTCTGCATTTATAAGGGGCGCTCGCAGGTGACCCCTGCACCGGTGGGGTGGACAGCTACGCCCTCAGAATCAGGAATTCCTCCCAGTTCTCTCCAGCTTGCTATACTCAATATAGAAAGCTCTGTATCTCCCTTCTCCTTCCTTCCCCTGCCTACTATCCTGGCCTCTTCTCATTTAACAAACATTTTTTATTCGCCCCCGAAGTGCTAGACAGAGTTGCTCACTGAGACCCAAACTGAAAGGAGCTTGGTTTGTGCCCTCCGGTGGGCGCGCCGCTGGTTGGGGAGACAGCCGGGTGTCCAACGAGGTGAACAGGTCGACCTCCCGGTTCTCCCCTGTTGGCGGGGAGGCGGGGAGAGCACAGAGGAGGTGCTGTGCTCCCCCCACAGAGGTCAGGGGAGGCTTTTCAAAGGCGGTGACATTTGAGCCGAGCCCTAAGGAAGAGCACGTTCTCTGGGATGAAGACAGTGGTCCAAGAAAAGGGGATATTAAGAGCCAAGTATTGAGGCTGGACAGAGCAGAACGTGCTCAGGGAAATACAAGGAATTGGGCTTGGGCTGTGGAAAGGGTGTCTGGGCACGTAGTGGGGGTGGCGGGCAGGGTGCCAGAGTCTTCTAAGCTATGAGAGAAGGACTTTTAGACTTTGCTTCATGTCTGAGGGAAACCTCTGAAGGATTTTAATAAGGACAATGACATGATTTGCTTTACCCTCACAAACATAAGAAATCTGACTTTAGTTTTCTATGACTCAGCAGAAACACACAACTGGGGCTGGGCCTCGTTGCCTTCTCAAGCCTGAGGGACACGGAGTCTCCGTGCCTCCCTGCTTTCCCGCTAGTTGGCTCCCTGTACGGAAGAGGCTGCCATCCCCACATTCTCCTGCAGCTCGAGTTCCAGGCAAGACCTGGGTTCTGCCTCTCAGTCGTAGGTGAGGCTCGTGGAAGGCGGTAGCGAGGCCGCACTTCTGCGCAGTCACGGGGGCCTGGAGTGGGGGCGGGGAGGATAGTGCCCCCTCCCCTCCACCGCCAGCCCTGACCCGGAGACACAAGACGTGCAGAGTAGCGTAGGGCCAGGGGTCGTAGCAATAATTTCCCAGCGTTCATCCTCCGCAGGGTGGCCGGTGGGCCCCATCCCAGGCTGATCAGCGGCCCAGTGGTGTCCCAGGAGTCATTTCCGGGGATCCAGCCTAGGGTGCCTTCATCCACTTTTGTAGCCCCTCACTACCTATATCAAAGCACTTTCTGCTCGAAAGAGGGGGCCCCTCTTGGCGCCCAGAGGATAGCTCTGCCCATCCTGCGCGGGCAGGGCCTCAGCCAACAGAGTGGGAGGCCAAGACCTCTGTGTGAGGTCCGGGAAAGCACAGGTGTTCTCACTTTCCATGGAGGCAGATGGCTCTACCTCCCACAAGATCCCGAGGTGGGGAGAGGGTGCTCTCCAAACACAGAAAGGGGCTATGCTGGGTCATCAAAAAGAGTGACAAGGGTCTCTGATTATCAATAAAAGTCCCTTTATTCTACATTTTTTTCTAAGGATGGCAATGTGACATGGGGGATGGCCTTTTATCTGAGAAGGAGATGTTCAAAACGATAAAAGTGGCAAAAGCTCAGGGTTCCACAGAAAGTGCGCTGTGTCTTCGACCCCTGGCATCTGGGAGCCCCCTTCTCTCCCCTCTCGTCTGAGACACAGCAGTGGCCAGGAATTACTGTGTCGGGGGCGGGGGGTGGAGGGAAAGGGGTGTTCCAGGGAGGCCCAGGCCCAGCTCAGCACTGTCTCTGCAGGAAACGCAGGCCCACTTTCTTATTGGGAACGAGGACGATGCGGGCCACGCTCTTCACCTCCCCTGTCTCAGGGGCCAGCGCCACCTCATACCGCTGGATCAGCTGGGAGGTAATGCACACGGGTGGGCGTTAGAATCTGTGACCTCCATCCCCTGCCCTCCTCTACACGCTCCCTCCCTATGCTGCCCTTCTGTCCCACCCCCCCTCCTCCCTGGCCTCCATCAGCCCTTCCTGGCCCTCGAGGCCCTCCAGCCTCTCCCCTACTCACCCTTGACAGCAGCAGCTGCATCTCTAGTTCTGCAATCCTGCGGCCCAGGCAAGCCCGG